CAATCCTCCTGCCTCTGCCTCCCAGAGTGCTAGGATTTTTATTTAGGATTTTGATAAACTCTTCATACATGCAGGGGACAAAAGATGCTGACCTCAGCCAATGGAGAGAGAGAGAGCATCCTGAGCCTTTAGCTTCTATACTCATAAACAAAATAAAATGAACAGCTGACATTTTCCTGAGTATGTTCTAACCCTTTATCAAGTAAATACATGGAAAAAGAACTCCCCCTAAGGAGAGGTAATCTGTACCTAGCACCTAGGATTCTAGATTCTCTGCTTGAATCCAGTGACACTTCCCAGAGAATGACTTCTTGACATTCCTCACTTTAAAACGGGGCTGTGCAGGGATTCTCAGAGGACTAATTTAGGGTCTGAGTTTCCACTAAGGTTTCTTTCCATGGAGTAGCTCTTAAGTGCTTTATAGAATCCTGCCTAGACTTTTATTTTGAGAGTAAAGACGGCTGGCTGGATACACATGGAGATATACACCTGAAGTTATTTTTCTTGCTATAAATTCTCCTAGAATATGCAAATATAGTAGAGAACAAAGTGTTGGTCTCTCTGAGGTCACCTAAAACACAGCAATTTCCTTAAGGTAGCTTAGATGACACAGATTATTTTGCAGCCTGCCTCCTGTAAAGGTTATATATCAAGCACAGTGTACGAGGTTGAGAGCTATGAGTAGCGCTGCTGTCAACTGAGGACAGCCTGCTCTTGTACTCACCTGAACTGCAATCTGGGTGCCATTGGATGTGGCCACTAAGGTCAGAGGTCTGGTTTCTGTGGTTACTAAGTGATGGCTATGCTGCTGGTGCCCCATTTCAGATGAGGCAGTATGGAACGCTGCTAAATCTTGAGCCACAATTGCAACCTTAAATAAAACAAAACAAAAAACCCCCACACACGAAGAATTAAACCTGTGATTTAAATAGGTTAAAGTCCACTTAAATCAATGGAATGTCTTCAATAATTCCCATAGACTTGTTGAAGCCTAACACAGAAAGAGACCTTATATATTGTCTATTCTGAACTTTTCTTTTTTATTTAGGGAAGTTCGGAGAGAAGGGTCTCATAATCTCATTATCTAAAGTTATGAACTGAGCCCATGGCAAAACAGAGCAGAGCACACTGGAGAAGCGGATCTGCCATGCCAGGGAGATGTGGCTGTCCCTAGGTTCCATGACCCCTAACTGGCTGCTTGAGAAGTTATAAATGTGGACTAATTTGCATCTTAAATGTCTATTCCTGAGTTTGGATCAGTGGTAGAAAATACACTATTTTTTCCTGTTATATTTAAAATTAGGTTTCCATTTAAGTAGGAAAACTGAAATGACCAGGGGCATTACTGACAAACTGCAACATCTTGTCTAATACTCATTTCCCATTTTATATTCCATGGACTCTTTCCATATTCCTCCTGAAGCATCTAGCCAGAGGGATTAAAAGTGCTTTTGTGGCTTTTATACCACAAATACAGCTTTTTAAAATGTAGATAACATAGAAAATGGCAACAACTACTTCTTTTAGATGATATCCTCAAATTTTACTCAGCCAAACTCAGAGGAAGAACAGATCAAAAACCAAAACTGCTATTTTACTTGGCCATTAACCCACTAAACATTTGAGATTTTAAGCTTATAGATATTTAGCTTGGATCAATCCCAGTAATGTTCCATAATCTATTACAGTAAGAAAAACGGATTTCAGTCCAACAATGACTGAGTAACTGACATTGGACTAACTCTCCTGCAGGTAACAATTATAAACTCTTGACAAAACTATGAAAAAGCAACTATTGGAAGGCACTGAGGAGCAATGAAAAAAAGCAGGAAGAAACTGGAGGGGATTCTCAAAAGGGAGCCACATTGGGTTACATTTATATTT